GACGACATTGTATCAATAACAGAGAAAAGGGAAGAATTACAAAATATGATGGATGAATTAAATAGGAAAATCAACAAAAATAGGTCTTCAAATAAATTATAATAAAACGAAAAATTATGACCAAGCAACTAGAAGAATTATTAATTACAATTGCACAAACAACTATAAAACAAATAAAAGAATTTGTATATTTGAGACAACTAGTTAAATTAAATCAGGCTAGCGGGTAGGAACTCCTTCGGACAGTCCTACCAGGGAAAATGAATCAATCCCTGCCCTCCGCAGATTCCAGGAGTTTCCTCGCCCGGAAAACTAGTACCTACTTAGGGTCCCTTGTCCAGGGTCACGGATAAAGACCACAACGGTATCCACGGCGGAGAAGAACTTTTTCAGTACGGTGTGTATGGCGGAAGTGGCAACCCCCGATTTTAGGGTTAGTATAAAATTAGATCACCGCAACGTCTTTTCCAGATTGGGCGGCTTGCAACAGCGTCTGATCCTGAAAGGGCGGCTGATCCACGAACTCGCCAACCCGTTTGACAAGCGTGGCGTTTTAATGTCAAAACACCCCCTAAAAATGTCGAGCTACAAAACAAATGGAAAAATACCCCAGGTGGGTAGAGTAAACAGCTCAGACTCCCACACCGCGAAAACGGTCAGCCTCAAGGATTCTGGGGGAGGCAGATATTCGACAAAATAAATTGAACATTGGAACATAAAACATAAGATCAATGAGCGACGACATAAAGGTACATGAGCTAGAAGAGGAAATATCCAAGATATCATGGGACATAATCGGGCTAACAGAGATAAGAAGAAAAGGAGGAAAACAGAATTCAACTAATATCTGGTAATATACTGTACTCCAAGGGTAACCAAGATGATACAAAAAACGGAGTAGGATTTATAATCAATAAAAGAATTGGTAAACATGTACAAACTATCAAAGGAATATCAGATAGAGTGGCATATATGATAATTAAATTTAAAAGAACAACTTTGAAACTAATTCAGATATACGCACCAACCAGTATATACTCAGATGAAGACATTGAAACATTCTATGAAGAAATATCAAAAGCATTGGATGAAGAAAAGACCCGACTAACAATTGTGATGGGAGATTTCAACGCCAAGCTAGGACAAAGACTAAATGACGAAGAAACAAAAATAGGAAAATATGGATATGGTGTACGAAACGAAAGAGGGACAACCCTGATGAACTACATGGAGGAAAGGAAACTCTACGCCATGAACTCCTTTTTCAACAAGAAGCCACGGAGAAAAATGGACCTGGATAAGCCCTGACACCAAAACTAAGAACGAGATCGACTACATATTATCAACACAAAAATACGTAGTCAAGGATGTCACAGTGCTAAACCGTTTCACAACAGGCAGCGATCACCGAATGGTGAAGGCTAAGATAAAATTAACAGCCAATTTGAAACCAGAAAGAAAATCAAAAACGTACAAAAACTAGATATGGAGAAACTTAGCCAAAACGAAGAAAAGTACAAAGAAGAAATAAAAAAATGCATCCCAAATACAACCGACTTAATAAATAAAGAAACAAACGAAATAAATGAAATACTAACAACTACATTGCTACAGGCCGGGGAAAGAATTGCAAAATCGACGACAAAAAAGGACAATTATATCTCAGAAGAAGTAGAAAACCTGATGAAGACAAGAAGAAGCCTACTTGAACAGGGCAAAAGAAACACAGTAGAATATACTGAAATCAATAAAACAATTAGAAAAAACATAAAAGAAACCAAGAGAAAAACGCAGGAAGCAAAGATTGAAAGAGTAATCCAGCAGAACAAAAATATGAAATGCTTAAAACAACGACTCGGTAAAACTCAGATAAATGAAATGACAAACAGCGAAGGAACAACCATTAATGATATGAAACAAATAATAAAGTTGACACAAGAATACTATACGCACCTATACAGAACAAGACATAAACCACAGCAAGAAATTCTTAAACAATTAAACACAAAAATAAAAATATAAACTCTGACCTACAACCAGAAATAAGTAAAACAGAAATCAAGAAAGCAATTCAAGAATTAAAAAACCATAAGTCACCTGGAAAAGATGGAATAACTGCAGAGATGCTGAAGAGAGGAGGGAAAACAACTAGAGAAGTCCTACATATCCTCATGAACAAAATATTGACCACAAAAGAAATACCCGATAGCTGGAACGATGCGGAGACACTATTAATGTTCAAAAAAGGTGACCGAAAGAACTTAAAAACTATAGACCTATAACATTACTAGTGTTGTATTTAAACTACTAACGAAGATCATGACAAATAGACTAACAACTAAGCTTGACGAATACCAAGCAAGAGAACAAGCGGGATTCAGAAAGGGTTTTAGTACTAGCGACCATCTGCTAACAGTAAAAATACTGATTGAAAAGTCGAACGAGTATCAAATCCCATTATACATGGCATTCATAGACTTCCGAAAGGCGTTTGACAGCATAGAACATTGGGCCATCAAAAACTCACTACAGAACGGCAGAATTGATTACAGGTACACGGACCTAATAACAAACATATACAAAAATGCGAGTACCACAATAAAATTGACGAACGAACACGCTACAGAACCAATAAAATTCGAAAGAGGAATCAGGCAGGGAGACACAATATCGCCAAAATTGTTCAATCAGGCTATGGAAGACATATTTAAAAAATTAGAATGGGATACATACGGAATAAGAATAAATGGAGAGCTCTTGAACCACTTGAGATATGCAGACGATATAGTCCTGATAACAGATAAGAAGGAAGAGTTACAGAAGATGGTTGAGGAACTAGATAGAAAAGCGACAGAGGTAGGTCTAGAGATGAACTATAGTAAAACCAAGACTATGACAAACCAAGAAGACCAATTAGAAATAGTAGTCAAACAGAATAAATTAGAGCAGGTGGCAGAATACATATACCTAGGACAGATAATAAAGCTGAACAGGGACAATCAAACAGAAGAAATAAAAAGAAGAACTAGACTAGCATGGGCCTCATTTGGTAAACTATCATATATTCTAAAAAATAAAAAGTTCCCTCAATATATGCGAACGAAAGTATTCAACCAGTGCATTTTATCAGTTATCACAAACATCTTAGAAGGCATAGATTAAAGCAAAAATTTTAATTTGGTTTAGAAAATTAGTTTACGGATTCTAATATCAGATGTCGCTATTTGCGTCTATACGAAGCCATGTTAGAGTTGCTTCTTAAGACAGAAAAGATTTATTTTCACGTTCAGAACGCCTGTGAATAGCTGTTCTGATGAGCCCTATTAGGGCGAAATACGTATAAGCAGATACACAGACGCACTATATGTAAAATCAAATCTTAACTTTCTTTTTATATGTGTTAATCTTTGTAGCTCGTCTTCTGTCTCGGGGATTATTGCGGCGTCGTCTGCATAACATAATATTTGGATTTCTTTGTTCCCCATTCTGTAACCATGACTTTTACGTACTGGCAGAGAACATACGAACATAGTTCTCTGGTACTGGTTGTATTATTTATATTAAAGAGACGTGGGATTAACGAGTCATCCTGTTTGACTCCGCTTTGTACTTGTATACACTGCGTTAGTTTTCCATTTATCTTTGCCTGTATTTGTATTTGATTATGCAAGTAGATGTTTTTGATGGTTTGTATAATATTAATTGGTATGTTTCTTGTGTACAGTAGATGTAACGTCTTCAACTTGGATGCGATCGAAAGGCTTTGTCAGGTCTATAAAAGATAGATATGCTGGTTTATTGTACTCGATGGCCTTTTCTGTGATTTGTCTTCGTATAAATATGGCGTCTACGCATAATCTTCCTGATCTGAATTCTTGTTGTTTATCTGATAAAGTTGTTAGTTTATTGATTTTATTGGTTAGGACTTTTGTGGTAAGCTTAAGTGCGGTATTAAGTAGATTTATACCTCTATAATTGTTGGGGTTTTCTTTATCTCCTTTTTTGAACATTGGTATCAATATGCTATTCTGGTAACTTATAGTGCAATATTTTTAAAGGTTTAGGTATTTTCGTCTCTGACGACTGGAGTATTAGTGTTTTAAGCAATCGGGCAAAGCGATTATAAATATTTCATAATACAATTTTAAAAAATTTATAAAAAGCATTAAATAGATATTTTTATCGTGTCGACTGAATCACATTTATGCAATTATAAGATTTTTTAATTACACTAATAGCGGAATTAAATTAGAAATGTTTTCTACATCGATCTATTCAGAGAGAACACAAATGTGTATTATATCTAAAATAAACACACCTACGTTGGTACGGCTATGCAATTATTTTGCACTATGCATTTGATTGATTTATTACTTTGCGTAATTGTTTTACAAGATTTATATTTACAGGTTTTAAGGACGTGTCGGAGAAGAATGTTTCGAATATGAGAAGGCAGACAGGGACAAAACTTATCACTATTTGAGAGGTTTAACAACCCCGGCCTCTCTCTAGCCTTGTATCAAAGAATATAGACCTATATTCGCATTTGTTGTTTGTATTAAAACGAATATTGACGCTTTTGGCCCATATTCCAAATAACTCACATTGAAGATTAATGGTCCATAAAAGAATCAAAAAGGACGAGAGGTAACATGCAATTAATAAACCAGATGAAGTGATACGATGGAAAAACAACTAGATACAAACTTTGCAAGTGCAGTTTGAGCAATACGATATCAAGAAGGATGAAGGATCAAAGTCGACAGATCAATAACAACCTTAGAAGAACACCAAAATCTATCTGCTCAGATGTAAAAATATGAAAAGACACTTATAGATTCAGAACCATTACAAAGCTATTTTTGGTAATATAATCATAGGGTTTTAAAAGAGTTTTAGGTAAAAAGAAGAAGTAAAAAGTTATGTACTTGCTATTGGTATTTGATATATTCATCTGATTGTTGAATAAGTCTTGAAAAGTTAAACAACAAAACACTTACCATTAGTATGTTCCCATTGGAGTAACCAAATCACACACAATATCACTCTTCTTGTAGTCCAAAAAGAAGAAAATGCCATATTGCTCTAGGTCAAGGGATTATCACCAGTCTCATTATCAATGTCTAGAGTTGGCAACTTTTGGAAAATATGCCGCGTTGACCTACCACACTCACACGAAGATTTGAAAAATCACTGGTCAAGATCAATGTAGCGTGTTTAAAAAAAACAGTAACTAACTGTTGATTACATCAATAATTAACTTCGAATTATCGACTCGTGAGATTTTTACACATACACAGAGTTTTAAAAAAATTAGGTCACTGTTGTTTCTTCAGATCCTTCAACACTATTAGTAGTTCCGATTATTACGAGGTAATGAAAGTCTTTTTGGTTTGTGGGATTATTTCTTTTTGGAAATATGTCTGTAATATCGACCGGATTTTACACGATTTCACTTTACAACACACATATATCTAGTAGATGACGAAGCGCTGGCTTCTTCACTAGACTGACCAAGTAACGGAACCATGAGGATGTTCAAGAAGTTACTACTCGAGTATACCTGCGGTAGGGGTAAGCGGGACCAAAAACTTATTAGCTATATTTTCCTTCTCCTGATATACTTACGTTTTACATTCTATTAATTGACCAAAGTTAATGTTTCTATAATATTTTGGCTGATACATTTATTTGATTATTATATTTTTATTAAAGCAAAGATACCGCATCCACCAAGGTTATTAGCGGCGTTACTCAGTAAACAAAGCTTAACAATAAGTTTAGATTCGGTAAAAAATATTGATTGACCATAGATAATTTAATTTTTAAAGTACAGTTTTCTCCTAATAGAGCTGGTACAGTGTTTGGTAAATTGTCTATTGAACATTCTCATTGACGGTAAGAGTTGTAGTAAATAGCCGCACAAGGGACGTCCACTGCCCGAAAGTACGTATGAGTTTAATGAATTTAAGAACTTTCAATTTGAATTACCTATATATTATGATAATTGGTGCATCCCCAGAGATATATAACGAATATCCAAATTAGTTTATAACTTTGTATATATGTTTTACTCAATAACCGAATTCGGCCATTGACCGAAATTGATACCCATAACGCTTGTGAATTTCGTTTATTTCTCACATCGCGTTTCAAGTATTTTTGCCGTGCACAGAACGCATTGTGCACAAAGCGAAACATAATTTTATTTCATCATCATCATCATGGCTTATTCACTCCTGGCGGAGTGTTTGCCGCCCTTTTGGGCTCTCTGATTCATTTATTGCGGAGAATCAGTCCGCTGTTGTTTTTTTTATTATTATAGCAGCGTGTGTGACTTGGCCCTGTCTACAATTTTCCTCCATTCTTTCCGATCCTTACAGCGCTCCTTCCAATTGTAGATTCTCAGCTTCTTTATGTCTCCTAAGACTTGATCTCTCCATCTTGTTTTGGGTCTCCCCTTTGGTCTCTTTGTTGTTGGTCTCCATCCAGTTATTCGCTTTAGCGTAGAGTCTGGGTTAGCTCTTTCTGTGTGCCCCAGCCACCTGAGCCTTTGCGTCTTAACGAACTTGATTATGTCTTCACCCTCGATGACTTCTTTAATTTCTTCATTGGTTAATCTTCTAAATTCGCCTACACTTATCCTCACCGGCCCCATTATTCGTCGAATTATCTTTCTCTCTAAGATTTCTAACCTCATTTCATCTTTTTGTGTTAGGCACATCGTCTCTGCACCATAGGTGATCACTGGCCTGATTGCAGTCTTGTAAATTTTTAATTTGGTTTTCTTACTAATGTGTTTTTCTTTCAAGAATTTTTGGTAGTTCCAGTAGGTTTTATTACCCAGTAGGATGCGTTCATTTATTTCATCTGTTCTATCATTTCTGTCATTTACCATCACTCCCAGGTATTTGAAACGGTGTACTCTTTCAAATGTATATGCACCAAGCTTAATTTCTTTCTCTATATTCGTATTCTCTCTTGAACACTTGAGGTATTTCGTTTTGCTTTGGTTTATTACTAGCCCTCTCTTCTTTGCTTCTTTATCTAGTATTAATATTATGTTCTGCATGGTTTTTAAATCTCTAGTAACCAGTGCAATATCGTCTGCATACGCAATCAGTTGGGCTGAAGATTCGATAATCGTTCCCATAATTTTGGCTGCTCTTACTGCGCCCTCTATGGCAATGTTAAATAATGTTGTTGACAGGGAGTCTCCCTGTCTGACACCTACCTCCATTTGTACTTCATCTGACGGGCCTTCCTTTGTTAAGATTCGTGCCTTGGATTCCTTCATCGTCATTTTCGTGAGACTTATTAATTTTTCTTGGATGCCTAATTGATTCATATCCTTAATTAGCTCCTCTCTTATTACACTGTCAAAAGCTTGCTTGTAGTCAATAAACAGTATATGTAGATCTATTCCGTGCTCGTAACTTTTTTCGACTATTTGCGTTACAATGTGTATTGCATCTATTGTTGACTTACCTTCTCTGAATCCATGTTGGTATTCACCTATTTTTGTTCTAGTTTCTTTTTCTATTCTTTGTCTGATCAAATTAGTTAATATTTTGTACATTGTATTTAATAACGTGATTCCCCTGTAGTTAGTGCATTTCGTCTTGTCGCCTTTTTTAGGGATTGGTGTTATCAGACCACAATTCCAGTCGTTCGGCATGCTTTCTTCTTCCCATATTCGTTCTATTAGGTTGTGGATTCTGTGGGCTAGTTCCTCTCCCCCATTCTTAAAGAACTCATTTATAATATCGTCTGGTCCTGCTGCTTTCCTTGTCTTTAATCTGTTTATAGTCGCCAATATTTCGCTGTATGAGGGAGGCTCTGATTGTTCTCCATTCCTATTTTCTGTTTGTTCTTCATTTTCTGCGTTTTCGGCATCGTCTTTCTTTTTAAACAGTTCTCTATAGTGTGTTTCCCATTCTATTTTTCCAATATTTGCTGGTATCTCTTTTTTTCTCTGTGATTTTATGTATTTGTATAGTCTTGCATTGTCATTACTATTGGCTTCGAGTTCCTGCAGTAATTCTTCGATCCATTTCTTCTTTTTTCTTTTGCAGCATTTGTCTGACTCTTTCTTCTTCTCTTTATAGTGTAGGAGATCTTCTTGTTTCCCTGTGGCCACCCACCTGTGTCTTGCTTTGTCCTTGTCTTTACTAGCTTGCTCGCATTCTTCATCGTACCAATCCTTTCTTTTATTGTTTTCCATTAGTCCTATCGTCTCCTCTGCTGTTGTTAAGATACTATCTTTTATGTCTTCCCATGTTTTATCTATGTTCGATGGTTTTAGGACTAGTAGTTTTTCTTCCAATTTAGTGCAGAATTTTCTGTTTGCATTATCTGTATTTAGTTTCGACCGATTCCACCTCTTTCTTTTCTTTCTGTCGTTTTTATCTTTAAGTATCTTCAATTTCATGTCGCCTATCACCAAAATGTGATCCGAGTCAGCATTGGCTCCCCTGTAAGACCTTACATTCTGAAAAATTGTTCTCCATTTTTTTGAGATTAGGATGTGGTCTATTTGGTTTCCATCTGTTGTTCCAGGTATAAGCCACGTTACTTTGTGCTCTTTTTTGTGCTTGAATTGAGTGCTAATAATAAAAGTATTGGTTGCTGCTGCTAGATTACATATTCTCCTGCCATTGTTATTCGTATTTTGATGGATTGTTTCTTTTCCTGCGATTTCTCTGTTCGTGTCTTCTTTCCCTATCTTTGCGTTGAAGTCTCCTAATAGGATTAGTATGTCGTTCTTTGGTATTTCTTCGTACAATTCTTCAAGTTTATCATAGAATTCATTCTTTTCTTCTTCAGGAGCATTCTCAGTAGGGGCATATATGTTAACAAATGTTAAATTTGCTTGTTTATTTTTCATTCTAATATATGATATTCTTCCATCAACCGCTTTAAAGTTAATAATCTTGTCTCTTACGCTGTTACTAACTAGAAAGGCAGTTCCATTGCGCCCCTGTTTGCTTTCTCCTGCGTAGTACATTGTGTAATTTCTTCTAGCAATCATCCCTTCTCCTGCCCACCTTATTTCTTGTAGCGCTAGTATTTCCATCTTGTATTTTATCATTTCTTTTGCCAACTCTTCCATTTTGCCTGGTCTTAGAAGTGTTTTGATATTCCACGTTCCTATTCTTATTTTTCTATTTTTGTTTCTTGCTTTATTTTGTTTTGTTTTGTTTTTGCGTCTTTTCTTACAAAACAGTTTCATGTCCGTATTCATTGCCAACTCCGTTATACTGTCGCTGTCTTTTGTTATATTTTTTGTTAGTTTTTTGAAGCCATTTTCAATCAATTTCCCTCTTGGATCCCTCTTGGATCTATATTTAAAAAATGTAAATAAAAATACGTTAATAAAAATGATGGCTATAAAAGATATAAAAGATGCTAAAATATGTCAATAAAAGTACCCACGGAGCGAAACTTTTAATTTTATTTTGTTTTAAGTTTAAGTTTTAAATTGTTTGTTCCTTTGTTTACAGGAACATTTATTGTCGCCACAAAACCTTTTAGAGTTGCATCTTGACCAGAACCTTTGGATGACATATTTGCTGCAGTTCTCAAGGGTATTTTCTTACTACTAATATCAGTTAATTCAAAAATGAATTGAGAATCGGTTTGAAGGAGTTCATTTCTTAAAAATAATCTATTCAGTGGTCCATTCTCAATACTGAGTTTGTACAAGCCATCACTATTAAATTCAGAAACAATGGCTAATACATTTCTTAGAGTTAATCGACATCCGGCACTCGAATCAAAACATTAGTGGCTTTTTTTTTAATAGCAAATCTTTTATTCGACTCACATACTATCTTTGATTCCAACTCTCATCATTTTATGTGATTATTCTCTCTCATTCAATATTCTCTTACTTCTTTAAGTTAACTTATCATTGAAATTACCGTCAACTTTGCCTTCTTGTATGTTGCGTGCATCTTCATTATTTTTAATCAGGTTATTAGTGTCCGGGATTTCTGAAGATTCATTCATATATTTGTCTTGATTCTCTAAATTTTCTTGGCAGGTTTCTACACTGCTGCTTTCTTCTCCATTTTTAAATAATCATCATCTTGTTCATTTTCCATGCTATTTATAAATTCTTCTTCATTTTGTAATTTGTCGAGGACATATTTCGGCATGTCTGCATCTTTTAAACCATTTGTTTATCTGCTGCCAAACATGGCCTCATAAGGGCTCCTATCAATTCTTCTATTAAAAGATCTGTTTTTCTTGAATTGTAATAAATCTCTGGTTAGCCACTTCAAGTATTGTTTTGGTTTTTAATGGTCTCAAAAAACAAAAATTTAGTCATTGGTAGTTTAAAATAAAGTTATATAGGACCACCGGGCTCTGTTTGCATATTTATCAAGTCAACCTACAATATGAAGCCTATCTTTGGAATTTTATTCTTTAACTGGCATAACTTGCGTTTACTAAGGTACAAGTTTATAATTTCTCGGGTTATATTTGCGTATTTTTTTTAACTCATG